TTCATTCAGAGAGTGCTGGCGATATGGGGGGAGAGAGCTGCTGCCTATCGCAGTGCTTGCTTTTTATTGGACGATTGAGTTCACCAAAGCTTTCAGCTCACTCACAGACACAAATCATAACGAGTCATTGTTTTCTCAGGTTTTTCTTTTTAATGAAAGAGCCAGTTCCAGTGTGTTTTCTAGAAATGAACATAGAGAACAACTTCACAATCCAGCCATCAGGTTTTGTACTGCACACTTTAGGATGCTATTATGGTAACATTATCATATTCAGCTATAACCAACAAAAGAGAAGACAAGACAGCAGTTAAATAACTTGATGGGGAAAGCATCAGTCATGTCACCAACATAGAAACCTTATAACTCAGAGCAGCTGTGATTCAAACATGTATAAATGGAAGAGAAAGAACATGTTTGTCTAGAGTGAATCCTCAAACCTCTTTATGAAGCTATAGTGTGTCTATGTATTGCACAACTGTTCTGCCTGAATGGGAGTTTGACGTCATGCCAACAGAGTGTGTTCACATGTAAACCAATAATCAATTCCCACACACCCCTTTTCTTGACATCCTTCAGATGCTAATGCTCTCTAAACGTATAGGCTACACTTAATTATTCTCTAGGGATGCATTTAAGGCCTGTGTATATTTGAGATTATAATCTTTACACTGGCTGCTACAGATTATTTGAAGGTACTTTAAGTAAAGCTCCACTTGACGTTTTGCATATTTATTTGTGCTACAAGATGAGTTATAGATGCAATTTTTTTGGGTCTTATTTGTCTCAGATCGGCATCAGATTTTCAAAGTTGGTAGTGTCTAAAGCCACAAGCAAATAGTTTGTTAACAAAAATCAATTAGATCCAATCAATTCGAAATAAAGTGTTTCACAGGCTTTGACTTTAAGTAGTTTACCTTAAAAGCAAACATACAAAATACAAAAGACCCCTAATACTTATTTCTCATGGATGTTTCTATCTTAGGCTACAACTGACATTGAATAGGCATTATTGTAGTTCAGTATTTATTTTGTCAACCAATTTTTTTTTATAAGTATAGGTTACTTGACATCACATCATGAGATCAACTACATTTGTGAGCTAATGGCTTTTTTTTGCCACTCATACCGAGGAATTACTGTAAAAAAAACAATGACAAGCAGTTTTAGCTTACAATCAACTGAAATCTTGCAACTGAAATGCGCGAGAGAATACGCAGATTTGTATCACAAGTGTGTTATTCATTGCAGCAACATTCACTTGACAGAAAAATATGTCTGTAATGAAGTTTTTGTATGTCTTAAGAATGTGTGTAGGTCTGAAAAAAGACTATGTACAGCCATGCTAGCTAGTTTAAGAAAAACGGTGCTATTAGCTAAATGCTAATGTCAGCAACCTAACATGTTAGTTCGCAGTGATAGTGCTAGCATATTTATGTTAGATCTTAATCTACCAGTGCATGTGATCAATTGCCTAGTATATTTATTTAACATCCTAATTTAGCAACAGTATGCTAATATTAGCAAATTAGCACTAAACACAAGGCTTATTTGAACGGCATTAGCAGGTATTGAATCATAAACCATTTTTGACTTGCAGATTGCACTAGATGAAGAAGAAGTAGGGGAATTACATTCATTTAAATATTCTCTGGTGGATGAATGTATGAACCAAATTCCATGGCATCTATCAAATAGTTTAAACTCTGCACGTAACAACGCCACATTTTACATTGCAACATGTGATACAAAAATGCATCTCGCTTCAGTTGCAGGATTCCTGTTTTAACCCAAACACTTTTAAATGTTCTAATTCTGATTTCTTCATAGGACATAATCTAGATTGTGTCAAATAAATACATACATACAGAGCCTAATTAAATATTCCTATGGTTGTTTTCTCGTACTGTAATTACGGTCAATACCTTGACAACACATTCTGCCAAAATGGTTGCAGAAAAAGCAACATCACAGTTATATTGACAGGAAGCAATGAGTTAGGCTTTTTGAAACCGCTACATTATACTCTCTCTTTTCTTTTATCATGCTTGTAAAGGAAGACCCTCAGGGACAGCTACAGATTTAAACACACTGCAGCGAGGCAGCACAATAATAAAGCCTGGAAAGAACTGGAAGAAAACTTTTGAGCAATGGTGCCTCTGTATCGGAGCCCACTTTGTAACACCTTGAGCGATATTCACCCTTAACATGACTTACAAAATAAAAGTATTTGTGATATAGCAGCATTGTATTAGTCACAGTGCACCTCGAAGAATTATGAAGAGTATAATCGGTACATGAAGGTAAAAACATTGTCTAGATACAAGGACCAGTTACTACAATATGAAAATATTACATTTGCTTAAGAGAAACAATCCATCATGAAAAGGAAGAGCATCACAGGTTGGATAGATAACAGGAGTTTTTGGGTCTCTGGAGGAAGGCCGGGCGAGGGGGTGAAACAGCACAGCATTACTATGATAGTCATACCTGAAGAGTTCTTACCCCCGTTAGGAAGGAAGGAGGTGATCTGCTTTTTTTTAATTGAATCGTCTCATCAGCGTCAGTCCTATGAGTTAATATCCTTGAATTCAATATTTGGTACAGGAATGTACACAATGTTTTAAAAATTAGCAGTAAAGTACAAACAGGAATAATTAAGCAATGCACGGATATACAATGTCCTCAAAACCTTATCATACACACTTTAACAACTTTTCGAGAGCAGAACACAAACTGATTTTTTTTCTTCACACACAAACACTCAAGGAGAGACTGGCCTTTCAGTTTATTTGAATTAAAGAGAAAACGTTTCCTTAGATGTGTCTCTCGAGAACAAGCGTCTGAGTTCAGCACTCACTCGACTGCACAGCAAGTCCATTCAGCGTAGAATGAATTGCTACGACAGCCATTTTGCATATAAAGTCTGTATAAAAATCAAGGAGCAATAGCAACAGGCCCTCTTCAAGGTTAATAACACACCTACTGTGAGCTTATAGCTGGAGAGACCGGAGGAAGAAACGTTGAAGTCTCTCCAGCTGAAATAAAGGCGAGAGGTAAAAACAGGAATACGGTATGTTGACCCACGGTAACGGAGGTCTGATAACAGTGAAACTGTAATACTGCAAATGCACAGTTGGAAGATGGCATTCTGTCCAAACAGCCTTTCATACAAAACAAAGATTCATGTAAAAAAAAAAAAACTGTAAAAGCACAATTACAGTAACGTGTTAACCTAACATGATGAGGTTTTGATTGTAGAAAAATATATGGCCTATATCAAAATCACTTAAACAGAAAATAAATCCCAACAAGCACAATTCAGGGTCATTTTACTAAGTCTTATCTATAATGACACCACAGCAGGACCAGATTACACACAAGGCTAAACTGAAGGCATTTTGGCTGTAGAAACTTGGGACAGGGCATTTTGTTCAAATCTGGAAAAGGTGTATACATTTAGATTTAGTCACGTATACACATACTGATTTATATTTGTTTGGGTTTTTATGAACATACGAGTGGGACCTTTTCTCTTTCATCGAATGTGTTAGATTTAATCAATAATGTATCCGTGACAAATCCTGCACAACCATGTATTTCCTCTGTCTAACTGAAGAGAAAACAAATAAATACAAAATAAGAACAACTCACAAAACCTGAACTCTTTTTCACAACAATTGATGCTAGCAAAAAACTTTTTTTTTTCAAATTCTTAAGTCCTAAATGACTTTAAATATTTACAGCATCTTTGAAGAATGTGTTAATATGGCATCAGTTTAGAAAATGTGCAAAACAATTGTCATCCTTAGCTACCAGATTAGTCAACACCAGTTCTCCACCGTTCACTTATTCTTTACATGGCGTGAATACATGGATATAGTATAGAATTCCTAACAGGAAGCTAGGAAAAGCTGCAGTTTGTATCATACTTTTTTACAGCCCTGCATCTAAAGTCTCAATCTGCCAAAGATTTCTAACTACTTTCACATCAACTATGTTCAGTGTTTTAACCACACTATTGACTGTGCAGACTGGATACACAGGACTTCTAAAGGTAAATAAATCTGTATTGAATGGGAATCAGACCTCGACCATTATAATACAGTTCACAGCGAGTCCACCTACTCTAATAAAACCACGCTTCATAATAAAAGTCATGCATCGTATGGGGGAACAGCTAAGGATTTCAGTAAGGACAGTAAGACAAAAGAAGTAACAGACATCAACCAATCAGCTACCAGACATCACCATCTCTGAAAAACGGTGATGTCATTATACTCCTTCACAAAGGTTTTAAATCACTAATAAGTAGATTTGGCATTTCAAGTGTTCATGAATTGGGTATGGTGTAGCCTTAATACTATACACTTTCTAAATTATTACTTGGTTGAAAATCCTTTTCTGGTACTGTAGGAAAATTAACACTTGTAATTGAATTTTCAAAATAAAAGCTTTTAGTTTTCACCAAAACTATAATCAAAATGTTGCCGACCACACAAGTTAAGCAGGATGTTACATGTTGCATCTTAACTGTTAACTCCAACCCATTTAAAACACCATGTGCTTTGTATATTAAGAGCAATATCTGTCCGTGCACCATGACAGGACTGTTTCACGCCAGTTATATAATAAATAAAATATTGCAATTCTTGAATGAATTAAACTCAAAATAAATACTTCACAGTTGGACAAGGTCTGTTATTTTAAATCAGATCACTACAGCTGGACAAAAGGAACCAATCCACACCTCCGTTCAAAAATACTGCATACAGAAACCTCTGGAAGTACTGTTGCATTGGGGTTTCAGCTTTTGCAGTAAATGTATTTATGATCAGCGTATTTTTGTGTAATAACCTGTATTCAATCAAATATTAGCACTGTGTTTTATCAGCACTCTGACCCTGTGAGTGCACAGCATCATTTAAATCTTGCAGTCCTTTTTCTTTGCTAACAAACAGGCCACTTCACTGGAATACATTTACACATTTCCCTTTGCTTTTTATCCATTTTGCTACAAGTTGCCTAGGTTAATGCTAAACTTGTTTCTGCTCGGTCCATGCCGCTCTATTGCACAGTTTCCAAATATAAAAAAACACAATTATATGAACCAAACATTTGTGACATTTCAGTAGTTCAAAAAGAAACAAACGCATCAAAGGTAAAGTGCATTGTTATGACCTGTGTTTGGCTACATGTGGTGGGAACATCAGAGTGGTGATGTTCATGAAGTATGGTCTTGTTTGCGTACCTGCTTTGCATGCATTTGAGATTAATGGCAACAAAATAATTGCATTTCTGTGTGTGGTTGTGAATGTAAACAATGGGAACAAAAAGGAGGTGAAGAAAAAAAGAAGTGAGATATCTGATGTCAGGTCTATACAAAATATTGGCACGTCATCTTATAAACATCGTGCTGGATGATGATCATGTCTAAGAATTAACACGTACATGTCGCATCCAGTCTTTTGTATCACAGTATTAAAAGTGCACAAATTGCCACCATTTCCCAATTGTAATATTTCTCAGCATGTCTCTCTTCTACAATGTGCTGCTCTTTTTCTTTTGATGCTCATCCATTCCATTTTAATGTCTTCTTTACCTGAAGGTACCGAACACGCTCCTGACCTGCCTCACACCTGAGTCTCCACGCCGCTAAGTTTAGGCATCAGGATGCGAGGAGTCACCCCGGAGTTGAGGTCCCTCTCAAACTCCAAAAGCTGGCCCATGAAGTTGAGATTCGGGGACACCACGGGACGACGGCTCCGCACGTACTTGTAGGCATCTGTCATTGTCATGAGGGTGTGCTTCATAAGGTAAGCGATGGCGATGGTTGCAGAACGGGACACGCCTGCCTGGCAGTGGACCAACACTCCCTGTCCACTCTGATATGCCTCCTCTGCGGATGAGACGACAAGAGCGATTAGCTCAATGAAAAAAAAACGGCTTAACACTGAGCATGGGAATGTAAAAGGTATCATTACTCATTAAAACCTACAACTTACAGATAAAAAAGCCTATAAGAAATATATTCTAAAACATGTAATTAAGCCAGTTAATCACCAACATTTAGTATGTTACCATGCAGGTTTCTATATTTAAAACATCCCTGACTACTAAAATCTAGTTGATTTTTATTTAAATAAAAGTCTGATAAGTCACCATCCATCACAAAATGGTGATGTAGCATTTTGCCAAAGGATTGCTTTATTTATATTCTGTTTATATGCACTGTTAATAACTGGGTTTCTTTAGCAGCAAATAATTGCTGTAGAAAGTTACAGCTAATGCAAGCTGAACATTTCCTTCTGATGTAGAATCTCACCATTTTATGTTATTAACCACAATTCTTTTATAACACTAAACAAAAGTTCTGCCAGTCAATGTAACTTGTCTGAAGACGAGTCTCTACTAACGCAGTGTGAGAGGATATCAACTGTGGATATGAAAAGATAATCACATTGAATTTAGATTATTTTTCCTTTTTGAAATTGTCACTGAAAAAGACTCAAAGACAAGACAAATGCAATTGGACGTGGGACTCACCAATGAATTCGAAAACCTCCTCAAAGTATTGTCGAAGGTTTTGCTTGCTGTTATCGGTGGCAGGCAGCCTCTTGTAGCGCAGTCCAGACTTGACGTGGTAGAGCGGCAGGTGTGTGGTCACGTTGACCACGTAGCCGATGTTGAGGCGCAGCAGCAGGTCCAGGTCCTGGGCGTCTCTCTCGTTCCCCAGAAACAGGAAGGGTAAGATGGGACTGATCACCGCATTCTCCGCATCGGGACTCATCGCGGTCTCTTCGGACAGAGAGGCAGGCAAGGAAGACGAGAGCGGTAGAGAAAGGTGCACTGAAGGAAGAAGAGACAGAGAAAAAGGTTTTGTAACGTGGTCTGCCAAGACAAGTCATGACAAGAATAATACGGCGAGAAACGAACAAATAACACTCAAAGTTACCAACTCAATAATTGAAAGGTGTGTCATATTCGTCTGATCGCTAACAAGCAGTATTTGTTTGTTTTTTAAGAGGTCTGGCCATTATCACTTGTTCCCTTGTTTTGACTTAAATTAAATAACTTCAAAGATGCTGGATGTTACCAAATATGGATGCAACAGCAGAAAGAACTGCAATATATTTAACACGCTGAGGGAACAGGATCGGAATGATGACAGCATATTCCAAGCAAAGCCAAGCACTTATCTTACTTAAAAAGCTAATTAACAGGGATTTTTTGATTGACATATTCAGCATAAATGGGGGGTAACTGCTAAATAACAGTCAACATGAACCAACTTTATGTCAGTGATTGAGTTGCTTAATAGCAATTATGAATTTGTACCACTTGCACTTGAAGCTTGAGATATTCTTACTTCTGTTGTTCTCCTCGTCCTGCTCTCTGTTCAGAGAGTTGAGGGCCAGGTGAAGCGAGTGAGCCGTGGGCAGCGAATGTCCTCCATCCCTGTCTCTCTGCCAGGGCCTCGGTTTGATGAGTGTGCTAGGGGCGGACGGAGGGGGCGAAAAGGACACTGGTGACGGCGGTGAGGCGGAGCGTGGAGAGGGGGAACGTCGATATGCTGCATCTCCGTCTTGCTCAGCTTCTACATCTTCAGCTTTATTCAGGAGCCTCTTAAGCGAGTTCCGGCCTTCGTCATAACTAGGTCCTGACCTGCGGCCCATAAAATCTAAAGCAGCCATTTTCCCCTGCTGAAGACGTCGTCGGCCAGCGCGGTCTGTAAGATGAGAATGCGCGTATTCCTGGAGGTTTTGACAGTCCAGGATGGCGAGGCCTTTTCCGTTGCTACCGTCCTGGGCCTGGATTGCGCAGGTCTTCCCGAGTTCTGCTCCCATCCCGGCACAGTGATTCTTCTGGGCCTTAGAATGGGTCATCTTCTTGGCCAGTTCTTCAGGCCAGATAGTACGCACGCTGTAGTCGTCGTCATCGGCTTGGAACGCACCTGCCGGATGAGCTGCTCTCCCCGGGGGTTTGCCTCTGCGAGGGTTAAACGTCACCACTATGGGGTCGCTGCTGCAGTAGCTGCAGGTGGAGCTGCCTGTCTGAGAGGCTTTGGGGTTGCAGCCTGTGACGCAGCTCTGTATCGCCCGGAGAGGGGCCGAAGAGGACAGAGGGGTACAGGGCAGACATCCCCCTACCAGTTTTTTGCGAAGGATAGCAGGACTCTCGAAGTTTCCGCCCTCTCCAGAGCAGGAGGCACAGCGGAGAGGTTTGAACAGGCTTGTCCGGCAGTCGGACACAGTGCTGTTAGAAGAGGAGGTGTTGGAGGTGGAGGTGGTGGAGAGACACCCCCCCAGATTTCTCAGGCCCATTTCTTTGCTTCCTCTCTTCACTGCTCCAGCATTATGAACACAGGAGAACGAGGTGGACGTGCTTCCTCCCCCTCGTTGGCAGCTTGCAGTGTGTCCCTTACAACCTCTGCATTTTACCAACCTCCAGCAGCCACAACTGAATGGGCGGGTGCAGTCGATTGTGCAGGTATGGTCAGGGCTGGGGAAGCCTCCGGCGTTGGAGGTGCAGGGGGAGAGGGGTAGACCATGAAGAAGGTGAGAGCGGAGGTCCTTGGTGCGAGAAGGGTGCGGCTGGCTGACTTGCTGAAAGGAGACTGGGGCATGGGTGGGTTGGGAGGGAGGGGGTGACGGGTAGTTGGAGTTTAGTATGGCAGCATGGGGCACAGGGACCGAGTTTTGGTGGTAGGGCAGACTGTGGCTTTGATGGACAGTTCCCAGTTTGGAACTCTTCTTGTGACCTAGAGAGGGAAACTCCTGGTCTCTGTTAGGGAAGCTCGTGTTCTCCTTCTCACTCCTGAACCTTCGCTGCTGCGCCTGAGCTGGGACGAATTGTAGGATGCCTCCAGGGGAAGTTGACAGCTGACTGTGGCGACTTTGCTGTGACTTGTGTTCGGCACCACCTGGCCTCCCTGCTGTTCCAGTTCTTCTCTCACATTGTCCTTGATCTATCGGTGACGAGGCACATTTTCCTCTGCTCCCCTTTGCACCTCCGCTGCGCTCTAAAGAGTTGCTGTTTCCTCCTCCCTGTCCTCCTTTGTCCACTGTCACCCTGATATCAATAGTATGTGTGTGGGAGGGCAGTCGTGGGCCGAGAGTTACTGTCCCATTGCTATGGCAGTGACTAGGGATGTGGCTGACATCTGCTGGGACGACCGGTTGATCGATCTTGAATTTGGGCACACGAGCGGATCTGCGCTTGCATTCCCGAGTCAGAGATTTGCAGGCTGGTGGATAGAAATGGGAATGCGAAGGGTGGAGATGAGGAGCGTGTCCATTGGAGGAAGCTGATATTTGAGATGAGTGCTGCGGGTTGGTTTGTGGGGAAGCCTCACAAAGGGTTAGGTTTTTGGGGCGCTGGATGACCACTATGCGCTCATCAAGAGGAAGGGGAGGCATCTGGGTTTATGCAAAGCTGTCCAATGAAGACGGAGAGAGAAACAGAAAGAGAAAAATTAGGAAACAATTGTAATTCACAACAATTTATATAATATACACACTGGAAATGTGGTACACTTTACATTCCATCAGTTTAGATAAAACTGAACAATGAACAAACATCCAGCTATTCAATATTAATATAATAGAGTGCATAATTTGGAGTATAGTTGTGCTTTGTATTAACATAGTACATCACACTTTTGTGTAATGGAATACAAGTGAATTATTTGTGAAATATAAAGTAAAACCCCAAATCCACAACAAGACATTTTTTTGTGTTTTGCAAAATGTCCTCATATCTTGGATGTCTTTTGCAAAACACATAACAAAAAACAACTAAACACAACAAATACCACCGACGGCAACAATATTGCATTTCAATATTATTTACTCTCACATTTACCGCAAATGAAAGGAGAATTTATATAAAGAGAAAACCCACTGAGGTGCATGTCTGATTTTAATGGATAACACTGTAAATCATTACGTTTGCCAATCCATTTCAACATGCACATCAAAATCTGTAAACTGCTTATACCAGGGCCCTTTACCCGGCTTTAATGCTCAACTTTATTTGTAGGACTCTGACTGTCAAACTTCAACAGTTTCCCAGTAATATCATTACTAGGTGCAAGAGTGTGTACCTGTTTGCTGTTAGCAGCACATAATCCCAGCTAATCCTGATGGCACTGCCGCTTTTAAAAGCTCTGCCACGAAAGCTGCAAATGAGCTGCAACAACCTTCATCGCTGAGTTGCCTTTCTTAAAAATGCACATAAGATAGTAAGTTAAGTCATGGCTGTTGGGAAAAGAAGGTTAATATACTTTACAACATGAATTGAACAGTGCATGTTTGCTGATCTTGATGTTTTAAAAACAACAAGCCTGTATATTAAAATGTTACTGTGATACAGTTAAGCCCTTAAAATGGACAGTGTCTTACATTGCTGCATTTGCACTTAAAAATAACTCACTGCCTCTCTAAAGTAGCTTTTGGCTCAGTGGGATTCTTCACAGTGAAGACTGTTTAATGCAGGAGAACTCAAATGCTTGCTGCTCCCAGCCATCTGTTTATCCTGCCTCTGGAAAAAACTAAAATAACCAAATCCTTTGGGCCAATTAGAAATGAGCATTTTTGTCCAGGCCCTGGTATAAACAGAAGATCCCAACACACACAATAATATAACTCAGCTAGAGAGAAAGCTTTCTCACCATGACACAGCAAAAAGAGATTAACTGAATGAATAAATATGCACTTTGTAATACAATTATTTTTATAATTTAATTGCCTTTATGATTAATGTCTTTAATAACAGGTAACTACTAAGACTTTAAACTTTACATTTTTTTTGATTAATTCGGTACATTCATTATAAAGCTGCTCTCAAAAGTTAAGAGGAACATTTTTTATCGTTAATGCAAAAAATCCTCCTCCTGGTTCACACACTGCTAAAAACAATCAATCTGAGATGTTCAGTGCACCGAACAGTCGTTTGGTTGATGAAGTGCTTTAATTTAGTTTTTGCCGACCTACTGCTATGGCTGCAGGGTGGCTATACAAATGGAATGGCAGGATGTTAGCATGCTAATCCCTGTTGAGAAACAGTAATGTCATGCTTTTGTTGATGTGAACAGTTGACATCAAATAGTCCATTGTCTCCAGCTCCATTACATTGGATGGAGATGGACGTTTCTGATATAAATCAAACACATTACATTTGGCAAGATACCATGAGTATAAGTAAAAAAAGTAGTTTATGTTGTGATTTAAATAAAGTTACAATCTACAAAATATCACATAACATTGTTTGGATTTTGCCACCAAACAAACAAACAAACTTGTAATTGCATTAAACTTCACTTATAGCTGTTTAAACAGGGTGAATTTTAAATGTTTAGAGAACCCATCTAGTCATATTTATTGAGAATCTCCCAGGGACTTGAAGACTGGGAGGAACAGATACTGAGGACGACACTGGCTGACAGATACAAAGTGGGTAGAGAGGAAATAAAGGGGGACAGATTATAACGTGACACTGTACACCATTGACTACAGGGGGTGACGGTACATGTCAAAATAATCTGGGGATGCCTTCAGTCCCAGCACAACACACAGATACCAACCCATGGAGAACCACACTCCAGTGTCCCCGTGCTTACATCCTCGCACAGAGTATGGTGATGGTATCCTCATCTTTTTCAGCTTTGCCTGTGGTGGAGGGGGTGGGGGTTACATTGACCCAGTTTTATCATGGTGGAAGTCACTATCACTCTGATCACTTTTCTCTCACACACTGTAAACTGCAGGCTGGCTAGTGGCCTTTTCACTCACTCACTCACAGCTTCAGCAGACAGTAAAGGCCACACAGAGAGAGGGGAAACACAATAACAAGAGAGGAGCCTTTTTGAATTTTCACTGCCACATGTTGACATAATAACTCATAAGTTTAAGACAAGGCTGAAAGCATTACACCATCTGATGAGCTATGGCGACGGTACACTTTTCTATGTTGGCAGCATACAGTCAGTGCAACATGTTTAAATGAGGACAACAAATACAAGCATTACAATGATTATCTTAATCTGAGAAATCCTTTTGTTTTGACATTTCTTCTAATGTTTTTTTGCTAGGACTGCATCCGTACTTTTTACTCTGTTATTGTAGTATGCTTTTACAGGCAGAATAATTAATTAGTTTAGGACATCAGAAAATATAATTTATGATACATAAATAATATGTAGTGCCTGGTTGGGGGAACTTGTATCATTTCAGTTGTAATTGTGAAAGTAGAATTGGGAATACAGGAGTTTTTCATTGATGTATTTTTAAACGATGCCCATTTTCAAAATACATGTTATTCCTCTGGTTTAAGACGGTCCTCAAATATTAGTCATCTCAAAAAACTCTCACCCAAATACAAAATCTTAAAGGTGTTAGAGTTGTTTTGATATATAAAAGGTTAGGTCTTCTTCATAGACAATGAACTGTAAAATATGTTACAGATGAGCAGCCAGGGGAATTATCTGAGTAGAAACGTCAATTTCTCAGTTTTACTGAGAACACGTCAAAGCAAAAAGCTCATTTGGGTATTAAACAATGAGTAAAGCATTAGGGGGATCCAAACAAATCAGTCTCCATTGATTGTCAATGGAGCAGCTCTAGACCTTATACTTGATGACATCACACGTTTGAGACTTACTTGTCTTGTTTCCAGCTTTGAGAGAGATAGCTCATGTTCACAGATATTGATTAAACTTTCCTCTGCTATGGAAATCACATACTGGAAGATTCCATTTAGGTGGTGTTCCCTTTATAAGTAACTTAGTTGAGCACTTCTTCTACAGGTTTACAGTTGGTCTGTTGTTTGCAGGACTACGTTTTATTTAAGGTCAGGCAAATACTGTTGAGATTTTGAATATCATGTCTTGTTGGCAGACTGCTGCAAACAGGAATCACCTGAGAGAATATAACTGCAAAATGGTGTGAGCACTGTTGAGTAGGAGGTTAATTAAATTGGTGTTTAATTAACTGTATTCATGTGAAATCCCTCCAGTTGGTTGGTTTAATAGAATCTGATAAAAGGCTCTAAGCTACCTGCTCTGCCAGGAAGCACACGCTGTGCTGTCCTGCGTGTTTGTTGTGATTGTCTTTCCAAAGTGAGCTGCCTCAATCTGCTTTGTTGTTATTGCCAAACACTACAAAGTGTTTCATTTTTCATTATTGCCCCCTTGTTAATAGCTCAAATGACCAGATCCTAGCTCTGAGGCAGCAGCATCCTTCACCGCAGAGAAAACAAACTCTGGTCAGTTCGATCGGCAAAATGGATGTGTCATGGCTTCGTAGAATCACAGCTGCGTACCATGACTGCAGCAGTATTATACATCAGACAACTCAGTATATGGGATTGCATAATAGATCTACCAGGCAAATATATGACTTCAGATGTTTACAGTAAAGTGTGAATAAGTTATGATCTCATTTCAGAGAAACTGAGGCATAACACCCACTCAGGGTATGGAAGTTTAGCGTTAGCCACTTATATTAGGATGAGTGGCAGGATGGATCAAGGACTGCAAAAGTATGCGCATGATTAGGTGTCTATTAATATTAAAGCAAAAGGTATGATGAGCTTTAGCTGCTTCAGAATTCAGCACATGAAAGTATGAACGCAAACCCGCAAGGATGAAAAGAAATATCTTTTAAAAAGAAGATAACTCAGATTCTGTTAGCGAGAGTGGCACGAGCCTACTGGGGAGACCATGACGCCTTCCCTCGCGCACTGCTACCCCACCAGCAGAATAAAATATAACAGATTAACAGACGCAGGCAGAGAGGAGAAATGAGCACATGCTAATGTTTTTCCATCTGATTTAACTCTTTCAAAAACACCTGAGCCAAAGCTGCACCAAGATAACTCTCTGAACTGTGAAATATATCATAAAACAAAATCCAATCAGGCTGGAAGTCATTTTACTTGACAAGGACAATAAAAAATAATTTCATTCTGCTGATGTTCACATGTAAGGGCCTGGCATACAGGACAGTGCATGACTTATGACTAACTCATCAGGTACAGTGTAAATTCATAGCGCTCCGCGTGTCTCCAGCTGCAGAGACGGTTTGGGGACAAGCTGTTGAAGAGGCTGATGTTTTTTCTGGGAACAGATGGTTGTCTGGCTGTGCAAGATCGATGGAGGTCTTCCTGTTCCCTCTCCCCGCCCCGGCTTTATGCAGCTCCTTCATCACAACGCCACCTGACAGCCAAACACCCACGCTGCTGCAGAGCGGACCGCACCAGAGTTACAAAAAAAAAGAAATGATGTGAGGAGGTGCAACTCAATTACTGCCTCGCAAATATGCTTTGGTTTAGACTATCTCTTCTTCTGCTGCATGATTATTTTTCCGCCACAGTAACAAGGCGTCTTGAGATAGTGGATGGCAGGAAAATTCGTCATCAGTTGTATGTTACCAGAG